ATACTATACTATGATGTTTTTTGGTGAGTTTTGGTGACATACTATTCTATGACGTTTTGTCATGAGTTTTGACGACATACTGAACTATGACCTTTTTTTGCGATTTTGGTGACATACTCAGACTCACAAGTAAGTCTTTAGACCCTTTGCTTGACTAAAGACTGATGTCTTTTTCCCTGATTTTGTGTTTAGATGGGCGGATACAATTTCAGAGTTTAAAAAAACTCCCTACGTTGCAGAGCCAATAGTAAATCCGCAGGGCGGTCCTTCAGTGGCTCGCTGAACTCTTGTGCTCGTAAACGTAGTTCGACTGCGTTAAAAGTTTTAAACAAAGTCGCTGTAAGTCCTTCATTTCCACAATGTTGTGGACTGAGCACACGTTTGATAAAACAAAGTTAAACCTCTCGGCATCCATTTTCACGCTCTCTGTGTGTGTATTTCCTTGAGGACAAGAAAAGTGGGAGTGCACATTTCCAGGAGGGCGTGTCCTTTTCAAAAATGCAAGAGGCGTTGCTTTGTTGCCGGCCGCTTTCTGCGGTGCGTTAAACACACTTTAGAAAGGAGTGTCCCCAGACTATCAGAAGGCGGAGATCTCTGATTGTCTGGTGGCGAGACTACGACATACTATACTATGACGTTTTTTCACGATTTTTGACGACATACTTCACTATGACTTTTTTTCACTATTTTTGATGACATAATTTACTATGATGTTTTTTGGTGATTTTTGACAGCATACTATACTATGATGTTTTTTTCATGATTTTTGATGACCTACTATACTATGATGTTTTTTGGTGATTTTTGGCGACATACTATACTATGACGTTTTTTCACAATTTTTCACGACATACTATACTATGACGTTTTTATGACATAGTATACTATGACATTTTTTGTAACATAGTATACTATGACTTTTTTTAATAACATACTATACTATGACATTTTTTGGTGATTGTTGACGACATACTATACTATGACTTTTTTTTAATGATTTTTGACAACATACTATACTATGACGTTTTTTGGTGATTTTTGACGACATACCATACTACGACATTTTTTCAGGATTTTTGACGACATACTATAATATGTTTTTTCGTGATTTTTGGTGACATACTATACTATGACGTTTTGTCATGAGTTTTGATGACACACTGAACTATGACGTTTTTTTGCGATTTTGACGACATACTATACTATGACTTTTTTTCGCTATTTTTGACGACATACTATACTATGACATTTTTCTGTAACATAGTATTCTATGACTTTTTTTGTAACATACTATACTATGACATTTGTTATATTATACTATACTATGGTATTTTTTATAACATACTATACTATGACATTTGACATTATGACATTAGTCACTCACTGTACAGCAGGAAACGACGCTTCAAAATAAAAGCTCTGTGCCAGAAATTCACTACCTAAAAATAAAATTTGTTTTTTACAAACTTGACTCATTTGCGAGTCACTTGTGGTCCATTCAGAATACTAGTCACAGTACCCTGTTTAAAATGTAACAAGTGATTTAAGGGTTTTAATTATGTCATCATCAAGTAATGTAACTTATTAAATTTGATTACTTTTCTAACTGCTTTAAACTGGGTGGCAAAGCCACAGGTAGTTTAAACTTCACAATAGTACTTAACACTGATTACTGTCAAACTTTTATTATAGTTTTATTGTTATAGATTATTATAGTACTCCTTTTTATTATAACTTCTTCTATATAAGGATGAATTTAGAGTGTTATATTCTACATAAACTTTTTTAATTAAAAAAATAATATATTCCAACATAAACCCTTTTATAATCACCAACTGTTATTAATTCCATAGTTTTTCTCAGTAAATAACAGATCAGAAATATATTTATTTTTTAATTTAATTAATTTTTATTTTATTCATTTTAATTAATTTAATTAAAAACAAAATCTAAATCTAAATCATCTGCCCATTCAAAAACAAAAAACAACAACAAAAAAACTATAAAATACTATTAAAATTAAAATTGTCTTTGGTATTTTTTGTTGTATATAGATATGCAGTGATGGTTGCTGGGTAATATGTTTGTCGATATTATCCAATGTCAAGTCTCTGATCATGTGATGAGACGACATGTGCACAATAGCATGTACTAGGGCCGTCACAACTACCTTACACCACTGTGTACCTCTGTTACATGTAACTAGTTACTTCCCAACACTGGTAGTAATTCAACAGGGACAGGAGCTGTTCTGATGCATGATGAGCACTTTGACCTTTAAATATTGTTAAGTTTTACCTGGTATTTAAATAGATTAAATAGAAAAAGCACACTTAAAAACCATGTACTTTCTTATGCCACTTTTTAAATATGAACACACTACAGAGAATCAGTGTGCTCTATGGACTTTAAGAGGTAGAGTCTGCTGTGAAAAAGCTCCATATCAGGTGTAAACAATGATTTTTCACCAAGAAATGATGTAACATACCCCAACACTACATCCACGGCCTCCTCTTTAGATTAAAGTTCAAATAGCTGCGTCTGCTTGTTTGTTTTACAGTAAAATGTCTTCATACAGCCCAGCTGCTAAAGATTATTGACATGGTTTAATGCAGTCTAACCCAGCCTCTTCTCTCTTCTGTCCCCTGACCTGCATCTGCAGCCCTCCTCCTTTGCTTTGAACTCTTCGTGGTCTCCAATCCCGGCCTCGGATATTTCTGTTTCATGTAACACAAGCTGCTCTTGACCCTGACTGAGGCCGGCCTTAGATAACACACACTGAAGAAGATTGTGTGCTAGTTGGTGTCAGAGGGTCAGCCTGGGCAGCGGAGCTTATTTGGGATACAAATTAAGACGCAGGAGGAGTAACATGGTCAGCGGGACTTCTGTGTTTGAACCACGGCTTGGTTTTGCAATTTTTTTTAAATTAGTTGTAGTTTGTTTTAATGAAAATGAATACAGATGACATGGAGGGATCAAATTGTGGGAACTTGTTAGCTTATTATTATGGTATCTCCTTCCTCATGTTTTTCCCTGTATGACGTCACTTTGTGTGCTGCTGAAATAACCAGAACATTGTTATAAAACTGCAGAGCTACGACTAACTATCATGTAACTGAATGACCAGGCCAAAGGAAAGCAGAGAGACAAAAATAAACACACTCAAGTGGAGCAATTTGATTTAATACTTTACTAATTTGGACCCAAACCACATCAGTGAAATATTTATCAGGCTTTTGCACCAGTGCAAAAACACACAGCTTACATAATCTTCAATCTATGAGGACACAAGTACAAGCTCTTTTTTTTTCTGAGTGTGACTTACTAAATCTCTACTAGGCCTTTTTTTCAGTGCTCCCTATACTGGCACACACATTGTTAAGCTTAATAACCTTACATATACAAAAAAAGAAGATAAAGCTATAGAAAAAAAAGAAGATTGAAAATGGAACAAGCAAAAGCTGCAGATGGATATCTGCCAAAGTGGCGCTCTAATCATTTGCCAAGACGGAGAAGAGAGGACGAGAAAATAAATCATCAGTTTAACTTTGATGTAAGTGCAGTGCTCTGCTGCCATCCAGCAGCACACAGCAGTACTGCAACAAGTCCTTTGAAACTTTTCCCCCATGTTTCAACTGTTGGGTATTATTTCATACATCAAGAAGAGTTACTTAAACATTCGATTAAGGTGCCAGGGGAGTTATTTCATATGTGTCTACCATTAAAAGAGTGCAGTGCAGTCTCTGATGTTACTGTAAAAATGTGAATTCAAAAACTATGTTACTTTTCTCCCCCAAATTAAAGGTCCAGTGTGTGGGATTTAAAGGGCTATAATGGCAGAGATGGAGTTAATATGATAATATGTTTTTATGATTCATTAACCTGAAAATAAAGAGTCATTGTGTTTTCATTACCTTAGAATGAGCCGTGTATATCTACATACGGAGCAGGTCCTCTTCCAAGTAGTCTGCCATTTTGTAACTACAGTAGGTCAGAATGGACTAGACTCAGAAGTCAGTCTTTAGACGCTTTGCTTAACTAAAGACTGATGACTTTCTCCCTGATTTTGTGTTTAGATGGGCGGATACAATTTCAGAGTTTAAAAAACTCCCTACGTTGCAGAACCAATAGTAAATCTGCAGGGCGGTCCTTCGGTGGCTCACTGAACTCTTGTGCTTGTAAACATAGTCCCACTAGAAACACGTGTAGCGGTACAAAATGGCTCAGCCATGCTCGCGGAAAACTCCGTCAAAGTTAGTGGATGTTTGTCGCGTTTGTGGCGACACGTTCTCGCCAACTAAAAGAAACAAACATAATCTTTTACAAGGCCATGACTCATCCGTCCGGGTAGAAAACCAGCAGAGCTTTTAGCTATATATATAGCCTATGTATCACATTTTTCACATCACTGTATCACCGTTTGGACTAATCCGATGTTTGTAAAGTCTATAAACACAATGATTGAACAAACATTACTATTTCTGTGTGCAGGTTTAGCTGGGCTAACCGTTAGCTGTTAGCCCTGTTAGCCGTTAGCGGTGTCTGTAATAGGTAATAACTCATTAAACGGTCCGTGAAAAAAATATCTTTTCCAGCGGATATCTTAGTTACAACATGATTGAGATAGCAAAGCAGTTTTGTGTTGCTATGTGTGGTATTTATTCAGTTTTGGGAAATCACGATGTCTAGAAAGCATCAGTTGACAGGGACAGCTAACACTAGCAGCGAAGCTAACATCAGGACGTCATCTGTTAAAAGCCTCCCGTTGTCGGATACGACATGAAACTACTCCAGTTAGCTCAATCATGTTGTAACTAAGACATCCACTGGAAAAAATATTTTCTTCATGGATGAGCACACGTTTGATAAAACGGAGTTTAATCTCTCGGCATCCATTTTCAAGCTCTCTGTGTGTTTGTTTCCTTGCGGACGAAAAAAGGAGGAGCACACATTTCCGAGAAGGCGTGTCCTTTTCAAAAATGCAAGAGGCGTTGCTTTGTTGCCGGCCGTTTTAGCCGGTGTGTTCAACACACTTTAGAAAGGAGTGTCCCCAGACTATCAGAAGGCGGAGATCTCTGATTGTCTGGTGGCGAGACTAAGAATGGACAAACTACTGGCTCTTGCATTTCCATGTTTTCATGTTGCCCGCCATAATTCTCCTACACACTTGGCACTTGGGAGGAATTTTGGTTGGCTGCAATCTGCAACATCACTGCTACATGCCACCAAATCCTACACACATGACCTCAAAGCACTTTTCCCACTGCCAACTGTCCTTGTATTAAAGTGACAATGGAAAGCATGGCTCAGTGTCGAACCAGTCGACTAGAACCCAAACTACATCCTTCCACTGCTGAAAAAAACACATGCTTAAGTAAAAACCTGACTCTGATGTCGTCTGATTTCAGATAGCGTTTGGTCTGATGGTTGAAACTGGTGCAGATGTGTTCACCAGTCCTGACTGGACTTCTGCTTGATGAATTTTAGGGACACGTAGTAGAGTGCCATGAAGACCAGAACAACTGCCAGCAGGACCAGGTAGCACGAGTACAGAGGGTACTGGTTCATCTTCATGGCCTCCACCACCTTAAGGACAAACACAGAGGGATACAGGGTGAGATGATTTGTCCATGTGCAGACCTTTGGGTTTAATAGCTGTGTTAATGTACGTACAATCATCGCTCTGTGCTGTAGTTTTCAACATTTATACTTTGGAGTGAAAAAACTTCCTCTAATATAAGCAGAAGTGAACTCTTGTACTCTAAAACTGCACAGCCAGAACTTTATGTGTTTCTAACTCACATGTATGCCGTCAACATTAAAGGTGATGTTCCTGATGGTGACGGGGTACTTGTTGCCTCTGAACTGCACCTGCAGCATGCCCTCAAAACCCCACCGCATGAAGGAGGCATGAGAGAGCCACGAGGCCACTGTGGAGTCAAAACACGCACAGGTATAAAACACCACACACTGACTGGCATCTTTTATTTCCCCTAACAATAAATCTCCTCACCGAGCCACATATTCTCCAGGCTAATGACAAAACCTCCGGTCAAATAGAAGACAGTGAAAAACGAGTTGCCCATGAATGCTGAGGTCTGCAGGGTGGGAAGTGCCGCGGCTACAAACAGAGCCATGGCTCGGCTGCAGTAGACCATCAGCCACACCAGCAGGAAGTTGAGCAGGAAACGATCCGGAGCTTCGTTAAGGCCGGCCAGCCAATAGATGGGCAAGCCGTACACCAAGGTGAACACGCAGTGCTCAGGTAACTCCCCCAGGACCTGAATGTGGAAGCATATGTTCAAATAAACAGAACACACACACCTATTTAACACTGATCCTGACTGATGTAAGTGTAAGGAGAGACACTTTCCAACGCCACACTACTGTACTGGTACGTCAGCATGGAGCGAGACTGACCCCTACTGGAGATGCAGTTTCATCACTGTGGTTTACCTTGGCAAAGAAGTATGAAGTGACAGAGTACATGCCGTCCTCCAGCTCGTGGTAAAGCATGGCTCTCTCTGTGTGACCTGCAGACAACATGAAGTTAGTCTGATGAGCATTATGACCTCAGGCAAAATGGCTGCTCTCTGTTCATGAGCATGTTTTTATTGTCTGTACCAAGGGTCTGTACGGAGTTTGGCAAATGAGCATTTATGTATACAGCTCCTTACATGTGGAATCTTCTACAGAATAACTTAAGTTGCAGCCATTGGTTCCTCTCAGCCGTTTCAAAGCACTGTTGAATCATGTATGTGCCAATGTCAGGGTTTAATTTAGCTGGTCTCTGTAATCATGTGTGATTGCCTCTGTTTTATGCTTTTTATCGTTCACTTACATCATATACTAACACACATTTGGGCTTTTCCATGTTGTATTCTCATTAGGTGTTTTATATTGCTTGTTTTAGGGCTGTATATTTTTATGTTGTATTTTTGTTATGTGTTGTCTGTCTGTAATTTATGTTGCTGCCTGTCTCAGCCAGATTTTTGATCTCAAGAGGTTTTTTTTCTGGTTAAATAAATAAAAAAATCTGCCTTAACATTGTAGCTATTTCTCAGTTTGCTGCATGCTGATACACAACACAGCTTCAAACACCACAAGTCACACAAGCTCTCCAGCTTCATAAATGCAGTATTTGTATTGTGATATTGTGGGAACTGAAGTACCAATGTTTTTTTTTCACAGATTTTCTATATTTCTTGAGCCTCTCTGTGTTGCAGTATTCAGCTCGGAGTCATACGTCAACTTGGAATCAGTTTTATAACTTCTGTTGTCACTTGACCTTGACTTAATGTGAACTTGACTCTTAATGGCTGCTGGCTAGACTCTGCAAAGAGTCTGCTATCTCTGTAAACTGTTGTGATTTCACTGTGACATAACTCTGGATCCAAGAACACCGTGTCCAACTCTATCTTCCACAAATCTGTCTGATGACTTCTTCATAACTTTTAATAACTTTGCCAACTGTTCTGAACCATTTCACCTCTGGCTGGTTCCTCTTGTTAAAGAGGAAGAGTGAAATGCACTGATCACAACTTCACTCAGCTGTTTCTGGTGCTCTTTCTACAAATATTGAAACAAAAAACAATTACATGGAAAATATAGTTTGTAAAAACTTTAACACAAGTGCAGATATTTGATTCTTCTGCTCACAATATTTTCAGTCTTGTTCCTTATGAAGAGAAACCTGTTTCTGCTGTGCATCAAAAAAGATACTAGATAAGATCAGATTAAACTTGTGTGTGACATTTATTAAAGGATTGATTAAAGGATTCATTTTGAATATATCCATACATTTTTTTAGGTAAACTCCTGCATAGTAAACCTCTAACTGCCTGAATGATTTGCAGAGTGACCTTGGATCTAATCCTCCTAAATCAGCTGTAATTACTCACATTTAGCTATGACGTCCAGCACCACAGCAAATGGCGTGAGGGCACCGATCATGTACAGGAGGGCCACTGTGTCCTGAATGGACAGACGCTCTTCTCCTGCCCCATAGTAGAGACAACCGACCAGCAGTGACATGAGGAGGGCCTCGAAGCCGTGAACCAATAAGGTGACCAGGTCCCTGTAGTCATTATACATGTGACGCCTGGGGAAGAAGAAATGAGAGAGGTCGATAAACACGCACAATGGCGTACACATTGTTGTGAGGCTGATCTAAATTACCAGCTATGATGACCTGACTGCACAGTTTGATACCTGAACACCACCTGCTGCAACTGAGAGCTCATGAAAACTAGTTTGTTCTATACAGAGAAGTCAAAGTGAACGATTAAAAGTAGCAAATGAACGCTTGAAAATGAATGCAAAACTGACCAAACCTACCGAGGAAGATAAAAGAGATCATCTGAGATCACTTGAGCTCATCTGACAGGGTTGTGGGGGCACAACAGACAAAAGGGATGAGAAACGCTGCTGTAATACATCTGTCTGAGTTGTTCTTACCTGATGAGGATCGTAAATTGGTGCAGTCTTCCAGGCAGTCTGTTTCTTTCCTTGGAAATGGTGATTACTTCTTCTCCTTTTACTTTGCTGATCTGCTGAGAGCTACAAGTGGGAAAACAGTGGATCAGACTGTCTGGGTTTGAACACTAAAACCAGTTTCCCAAAAGAATGACAGCCAAACTTAAACACACTGCTACCTTTCAGGTTGTGTTGTTGGTGCTGTGTTGGTCCCAGCTGGTTTCCACATGTGATCGTCGGTGTCTCAGACCTTTTCTAAGAACTGCTCAGCCAGAACTCCAGAGCGCTCCAAACACTTGGCCTCTTGCTCCGGACTGCGTCGGTCTATACTGATCAGATCAACTGGACACACAGACACAAGAAAATGAACACTAAAAAAGTAAATAAGCTTATAAAGAACAATAAGTTACATTTGACACCATTTGTTTATCATCAGCGGGACAGATGTAGCTAACATTTTTGACTGTTTAAAGCTGCTTTTGGAAACTCTGTGCGTTTTGGTTGCTGTAAAGAAGCACCACTCAATCTGTTCTGACATCTTTCCACACACACACTAACCATAGAAGTCGGAGGGGTTGCAGTATCTCGGGCAGGGGTATCCCAGAGCCGTGAAGTAAGGCACCATGTCACAAGCAGCCCCACAGTAAACGGCTGAACCTGACGACAGCAGGACGACGAGGTCGAAGAGCTGGAAGATATCAGAGCGGGGCTGATGGACCGACAGCAGCACCAGGCGGTTTCCACGGGCCAGGCGGGACAGTGTGATCACCAGGTTGTGGGCTGTGAAGCTGTCCAGACCTGACGTGGGTTCATCCAGGATCAAAATACCTGGAATGTAAAAACACTGTTGGTGATCCACTGGTGTCAGGGGGACCGATCCAGACAGGAGTGAATGCGTGCACAGACTTTAATGAGCGCTGGGATCTCATTTTTTTTCTGCAGTGGTTATATGAATAATCAACTGTTGTATAAAAAGCAAGACAGAGTTGACAAATGACACTGAGGTACTGAAACATCGGCTGTCTTTGGTTATAAATACTAATGAACTATAGTACGTAGGCAATCACTGCAAGTAGCAAATCTCTCTGCAGGATTCTTCACCTTTGAATCAGGCTTACAATATCTGAAGGGACGTGCATCTGCATTTGTAGAACAGGTAATAGGAACTCCCTCTCTCTGAAATGACCTGTCAGAGGCCAAAGTCTCCCGTCTGGCTGGATTTTCTAAAGCCTGAAAACGGAGCCAAGAGGAGGTGCCGAAGTCTTGTGTTCTCTCAGTCCCCAAGGACACCAAAAAATAAAACCTGCCTATCCAGTGTTCCAGAGGTTATCTGTGTGTTTTTTTCTCTCACCAGGGTTCCAGAGAAGTTGGACAGCTATACTGACTCTCCTCCTCTCGCCTCCAGAGACTCCCCTCACATAGTCGTTTCCCACCCGGGTGTGAGCACACTGTCGCAGCCGCAGCTCTGCGATGACATCATCCACCTATGACCAAAAACAGTAGCTGTATGTGTTTCACAACACAAACAATGATAATCATGTATCATTTGGTATCTCAGCCTAATTAATTTTGAGGAATAAGAAACAGACACCACCGCCACATCTGGACCAAATGATGATTATATTCAGAGTGTGACACCTGAAGTCAAAGGTCAGTGTTTGTGTTACAAGGTGTCCTCATGCTGTGTTCAGTCTGTGCCTGTCAGGATATTGTTTTGTTGTTATATTGTTATTCTCACCCTCTGGTCCCTCTCAGCCTGTGTGAAGTGGGTGGGGAGCCTCAGTTTGGCAACAAAGACGAGAGTTTCGCGGACGGTGAGGTGAGGAAGGAGCCGGTCATCTTGTCGGACGTGAGCGATGCTCTTCTTCACCAGCTGAGGCGTGTTAGGCTTCCCGTTGATCAGAACCTGACCGGACGTCATTGTGCCGCCCTCATCACGGCATGTTATTATGTCCAGCAAAGATGTTTTACCACAACCTGAGGGAGAAAGTGATCATGTATTTAGAGCATAAATTAAGCATCAAAACAAAACTCACAATGAAAGTGGAAATGTAAAGCAGTGAAAAGTTTCAGGTGGCATGTAGCACATGAAGTTCAGATTTTTTTTCTTGACCAGTGAACACGACTTTTGGGACACTGATTAGTTTCCAAACATTTGCGTCCAAAATTAAAGATCCTCAGCCAAGCTTGACAGCGGAAAGCCGGGCTGAACAAATGACATCATCAAGGGAGACCACTTCATTTATTACCTTGATTAGAAACAGTGACACTTAAAGGTCAAGTCCATTAATTTTTATTACATTTTTATATCATTCTGTAGCTTGAGAGTGGGAGTTTCTTACTTATCAAATCCTGAACATTCAACATCAGGTCGAAGTACGTGTGTTTTAGCATCAAAATGTTATTTCTCAAGGCCTCTTCTTTCCTTGTAATGTGACATAGGATTCTGCATGATGACGCTAATACATATAAACCTCTAAGCCTGCCTAAAGTGCCCCTTCGTGCCGTCTTTGTATGTTATCGATGTTCAATATTAGCGCCATGTTAATCATGGATCCCAAAGTTACACAATCACACAAACAAACTAACCAATAGATGCAGCTGTAGACCAGCAACTCCTGTGATCTGCAAGGTAAAATTACTGTTTTTGTTGAAGGAGTCTGGTGGCTTTTTAAAGAGTGATATTACAGCTCCAGATTCCCGTCCCCTTCTCCAAACTGGGGGCACGCTGGCTGCCATCTTCCATATGTAATACACTGACTATAGATAGATAAAAGTACGTCATACAACCCCACCTCAAAAAATCCAAACTAACCCTTTCAGCTATAATATTATTATCAGTGCTCTATCCTACGTCACTGCTTTTTGTTAACGGCTGAGTGGGCATTTCCCTTTGAAAAACCCACAAAAGAACGCAGATGGAGTCAGCCTTTAAAAGCTGTGTGTGTTTGTGTCACCTGAGCTGCCGATGACGGCCAGCATCTGCCCGCTGTGGACTCGGAGGCTGAGCTTGCTGATGGCTGTCTGCTTGTTTCCTTTAATCTCCCACGGCAACTTGAACTCTGACAACTTCTCATACCAGGGGATCTGAGCCGCTGTGTCCACCTGGAAACACACACACACACACACACACACACACACACATTTACACAATGGGCACATACAACATGCACAGAAACAGCAAACACACACGAGGAGGTTAAAACCAGTAAAAGCTAAAGATAACTGTGCATGGGAGCAGAGCGGCTGCTCGTTAGTTACCTCATAGTGCAGGTTGTTGACCTCCAGCTCGTTGCACCCTCCACTGTAGGTAAAGTAGAGGCTGCTGTCCTCTTCAGACGAGAACAGCTCTGTGTCTTGATGCTGTTAAAGAAGAGAGGACAGGTCAAAGAGTTTCACAGAGGCGAGGACTCAGTAGAAATGTTTTATCTGTATCTGTATCTGTATCAGCTGTAAAGGACAAGCTGCAATAAAATCTGTGGATGTAAAGAAGAGTGATAAAACTCTTTTTATGAATCATTAATTTCATGTGTCTCAAGTTAGACACTTGCTTTAGATTCATGAAAGCTTAAAATGAACTAAAATCTGAAATTTTAATCTTGTATCTGAATACTGATTGTTTTTACTTGCATGTCCACTGTTTAAAATCAAAGCGAGAACACTGTCCCAAATGTTACAGTGCTGCTGTAGCACCTGCACGTCTTACTTTATCGAAAAGTTTACTTTAGGTTACGGTTTTATGACTCATGTGTTTAATGATCACTGTATGGTGATTGACAGTGTTTGAGCTTGTGTACATCTCTGTGTGTACTTGCTTGTGTGTTTGCACATGGAAAAAGTTGGCTGAGACCTCTGTGGGTCCAGAGTCCACTTGAAAACGAGCCTAATGTTATCGTTAATTAATCCCTAAATCTCTCAAATAAAGAAAAAGTACTGATTGAAGATGTACGATTTAACATGCAGCATGTGCTCACAACAAATGTACTGTACACACTGTACATCACATATACTGTAAATGTTAGGTTAAAGTGCTGATGTTGCTCCTGTGGAAACCAAATGTGTCCTCTGTTATTTATCAAGACTTCAGATGAAACTAAAATAACAATAGTGTGTAGTAGTAGTGTGTCTACTTCAGCAAAATTATTGTAGAGACAAATGGAAACACAGGTTAGCAACATTTTCATTTGCATTGTGTGAAAAACTGGAAAACAGAAACATAAACCAGAACATTTTGACCTAAAGCTGCACATTCAATCTGCAAACTAATGTGGACAGAAGTTAATCTTAATGAGCCTAAGTTGTTTCTTTAAAGCCAAATAAATGGAGAGACAAACACATTTTAAGTATTCATGAAAAACTCATTCGGATTCACTCATTAAAATGTTGTTTCATTTACAGATAAAATAGAAATTACTTTGTTGTTAACACTTTGACTGCAAATATAAAAGCCATTGTTTTTATTTTCTTGAAAGTGATGTCAAACTGTGGTCTATTGTTGAGGGAATAATCAATAAAACTGGACTCTGTGACCAACATACCCTCATTATGATTGATATTATTTATGCAGCAGACAAAGACAGTGTCTCAGTGGTCGATGGGGGTGGAGATGAAAGGAATCAACAAAAAGTTTAGTGTAGCTTTGATTTCATTAAACTATATCACTAAATTAGCTTTGTGACCCCATGTAATAACTGACCTGTGAGGAGCTGTTTGTATGATTGAGGCCGGTGTCTGTGTCCATGATGATGCAAGTAGCTGGTTGACGTTTGCAGGATCAAGAGGTCAACGCCCCCCTTTTTCTTCTTCTGTTCGGTTCCTCTCCTTTTTCTCTCTACGGGTATCTGCCTTTGTTTCTCTCCTGTTGTCCCCCTGTTCTCTGTTTCCTCTCTCTGTTGGATAGTTTGACTCCAGTCCAGCTGAAGATCTCCTCTCGTCTCAGCTCACAAGCCTGTCCAAGTTCATGTCATGTCAAGCTCTTCGTCTGCTCTGTCATAGCTTCTCTGATCACACAGCGCACAATTTGAGGACTGAAGTGAGACAACCAGCCAGTCAATCTCCTCTGTCAGCATGTGTTTTTTTTTTTTTGGTCTTTTTTATACAGCTCCAGATCAAAGTTCTCTGAGATAACGCAGCGTTCACTGTGTGTTTATGGCTCCTGAGAGACACCACTGCTGCTCTGCGCAAGGAATGGGTGCCTCCAGTCTGGGCCTGCGAGACAACTCGACTTGAGAGCTTCACATGCTGTTTACTAGTCGTGTGGACATGAACAAACTGATCTGAGACGGACTCGACTCACAGTTGTTGTTTGGAGTAGCAGCAGAATGGCCGGAGACATGAACAAACTTTATTCAGTGCAGGCGGTGACGCCAGAGAGCGAGACCAAAGTTAATGAGTCCTTCAAGTTTGTGTCGGAGGTGAAGAGGGATGTGTGGAGGGATGGCGGAGAGGAGCGATCGGAGCCCTCCTGTTGTCTCAGTGTCAGCAAGATCTCCTACACAGTCAGGTAAAAGCTGCAGAAACAGGACGACTGACTTTATACAGATAATATTTTATCTTATGCATTCAGGTTTGATTTAAATTATCTTTAATTTCATCTCATTTCTAAAAAGAAGAATAAATTTAACTTGTAACACATGAGAACTTGCAGCTTTTTGTCTATGTAGTGTGAAATAAAACACACTAATAACTGTTGAACACATGTATTGTCAGATCAAATGATGTGTGTGTGTGTGTGTGTGTGTGTGTGTGTGTGTGTGTGTGTTCCAGTGAGCGTGTGGGTCCATGGTGGGACTTGCCCTCCTACAGGAAGCGATGGACTCGTCAGATCCTCAATGATGTCTCTTTCCATGTAGACAGCGGGGAGATCATGGGCATACTGGGCAACTCAGGTTCGCACTTAGCTCAGTCCAAAGACAAAGTGTTCAAAAGAAACAAATAATTACATCATTAAATTAAATCTGATATTCTTAGGAACGAACAATGCTAATAGTACAATATTGAATACAAGCTATTCTTTATGTTTTGCTGAAGGACGTAAATAAAGGCAATGTGACAGCACCTTTAACTCAGGTTGAAGGTCTAATTAACTGATTAAGACTAGAGTGTGAGAATGGGGAGATGTCCTCCTGCGGCAAACAAAAATGTTCATATCCTGTCCTCTTTTTACTGTATGTACTTAAGTATCCGTGTGTGTGTGTGTGTGTGTGTGTGTGTGTGTGTGTGTTTTGCCTTGTAAAGGCTCAGGGAAGACCACACTCTTGGATGCCGTCTCAGGGAGGATTGGAAACTGTGGCACACTGTTGGGTGACATCTTCGTTAACGGCATGAAACTGAAGAGAGAAGAGTACCAGGACTGCTTCTCCTATGTGCTGCAGGTAACACACAGACACGTGCACAGTATAAACACACAATCAGTGTACTGTGATCTCAATACTTCAATAAATCGTTCTAGATGTTTCAAACCAGGCCTTCAGCACTCTCAAACAAAAACGTACTAAATAATCTGAAAACAAAATATCATAAAATACTGTATTTTGCTGCAGCGTGTAACTGCTGAAGTGCTTGGATTCAAGTCAGACTCGAGTATCAAATTTAATGACTTGACAAAATCAAAAAGACTTGCAACTTGACTTGGACTTTAACATCAATGACTCATGACTTCACTTGGACTTTTGACTTGAATATACTTGATAACTCCAAGCCAAAAAGTATGTTGTTTAAAAACTATGAGGAGTAAATCAATTTCCTGATTCAATTAATGTTAACGCTATTTATTAAAAGTCAACATTAAAAGTCAACATTATTCCCCAAATCCACTTAGTTTGAACCAATCCAACAGCGTCAAGTTGTCAAGTCAAGTTGCAGGAGAGAACCATGAAGGATCAACATTACGTTACTGAGCCCCAGCTAAAAAAAAGATATCAAGGATAATTTGGTTTGCATTCAAAAACGATGCAGAGGTCAACAAAAATGAACTCACTCATGATTTTTGTAAGTTTAATATATTATTACTCTGTAGTTAAAATGGCATTGGGACTTGTTTAGGACTTGAAACTCAAACTTCAGGACTTGGGGCTTGAGTGCAAAGACTTAAGACTTGATACACATTTCACTTTGCCCTAGTTCTCATCACACGCAGACATCAGGTTAACCTTTGCCCTACAGAGTCACATGTGAGTGTCTACATGCAGACAGATTTTATACATTTAAGTTGCCTGTGTTTCACCACCATGAACACCAAACCACAAACTCAATGAATGTACACCATTTTGCGAAAACTCCTGAAAAGGTTGCCCCGGCCTCTGGATGAAATTAACTCAAGGCCCTCGCTGGCCTCCTCATACACTTAATCTCTCAATGAGAGGTGCTCAAGTGTATCCAAAGCCTGAATTAAAAACACTGGCTTAAGACTGGCCTTGCTTCCTTTCAAATCATCTCCCTCTTCTGGCTGATAGCAAAACCCCCCCGTCTGCTCTCTAAGCCTCGTCATTAACTTCCTCTGCTAAGCTGTAGATGAGGAGGTGATATGAGCTCCTGATATTAAAGTCATTCAGATGAGAGACTAAGGAGAAGTGGGATTGGGAGGCGCCACGTGTTAATTGAGGCAGGCAGCAGGTTCAAGCAATAAATGTGTGTATGTGTGTGTGTGCATATATCTTTCCAGCTGGCATATATGAACATACAAATATTCAGTATACTGTTGTATGTGTCCTGTATGGATGTGCAGCAAAGATACTGGAGATAAATACTCTGAAATCTACACATTTGTGTTGCTAAGAGTGTACGACATGGATTTTTACAGCAAATCATGGCAGTGACAAGTCTCAAGATACACTGTAGTTTGAATACAGACAAACACACAAGAGGAAGACGAGGTGATCAACGTATGTGCAGCAGTGTATTTTGCATTTACTCATCTCTCTTGTGTTTAAAACATGAGGAAGCGATGTTACATTTCCTCAGTATGTATGAAAGATCCATAAGAGCAAACATCTCTTACTTATTTCTTGCCATTTCTTTCCCCTCTTTTTTTCACTCTGTCTTTGTGTCTTTGTCTCCAGAGTGATAACTTGTTGAGTTATCTGACAGTGGAGGAGACTCTGACCTACACAGCTCAGCTGGCCCTGCGGAAACACTCGGCCGAAGCCATCAAGAAGAAGGTGACTTCTAAGAGCCTCTGCTGCTCTGTCCACTCTATCAGCTTTCTTTAACTTATACTTAGCACTTCTCCCGTCTAGAGAAAGTACAAAAAGCAGACAAATGGCAAACCAGAGGGGATGACTCATTCGCGCATGTAGGGATGCCCAACCTAAATTTAAAGGTTGATTACATATTTTTTCTCTTGCATGTAGTGCTATTCATCAGTCTAGATTGTTTTGGTGTGAGGTGCCAAGTGTTGGAGATGTCAGCCATAGAGATGTCTGCCTTCTCTTGATTATAATGGAACTAACACTCAGCTTGTGGTGCTCAGAGCGCCATAATAACACATCTGAAAAACTCAACAGCAATGTCTCTTTCCTGAATTCTTGACCTGGTAACTCAAGATAATCCACAGACCTTGTTGTGAGCAGTTTCATGTAGGAACTATTTTCTTTTTACCAAACTACACCCAGCAACCATATCACTACGTGAAGCGTGCATCTACTCATGGACGAGAGGTTTGTGCTTATGACAGCACGACATGTAAACATTAATGACATCCTCCTCAAATGAGTTGTAATGTTAGCTAGCTCAGTGGTGCTAGGTGGGCTAGCAGTAGATGCACGCTTCCTTCTGCGTGGTGATACGGTTGGTGCATGTAAAACGGTAGAAAGATAATAAGTGCACTAACTACAGTAGGCGACTGTCAACTGCCTTGTTAATAATAGTAGTAATTCTCTTGTCACCTGACCCTTGACCTCTGGCTCCTGTGCAGGTGTCTGCGGTGATGGCCGAGCTGAGTCTCAGTCACGTGGCCCACAGTGTTATCGGAGGCCGTGTGTTCCCGGGGATCTCTGGGGGCGAGAGGAGGAGGGTCTCCATTGCCAGCCAGCTGCTTCAGGACCCACGTGGGTACCCTCTGGGAAATATGAATCTTATCTGTATATCACAAACTTCCAAAGGGTGCTATTGCTGCAAAATTAAATCACGATGATGAGGTGAATCGAGGTAAAAGCCATTATCCCTTAAATTCGTAACGAAATGAGGAGATGCAGAGCAGATAAACTGAGGCATTAGAGGTGATTTTTTTTTAAAGCTTTCAGGCACATGGGATGAGGATTATACAAAATGGGTTGTGACACAATATAAGAAAGATGTCCCTAATGTGTTCCACACTCTGTTAGGTAAGTTATTGCACGTAATACATGATATTTCATTCATACACTGTTGGAAGCAACAGGACTGGAGGCAGGACTGCGCCAATCTGAGAACAGAAGAAAGTTCACCACAACACCCATCTCTCCCTGAAGAGTTTTAGAAGTCCACGCTGAAAAACAAAGGGATCTAAGTAAGAGAGGAATAAGGAAAGGACAGAGAAAGGGACAGAGGGAGAGATGGAGAGGAGTAATGAAAGACTGGGTTATCACACCACGGAGGGAATGAGCAGAGACCCACCTCTGTGTGTGTGAGTGTGCCTGTGCTCATCCCAGGTGTGGTTTATCAGGTCTGCAGTCCTCCAGGGACAATGAAGGGTCTCAGTCCTCATTCAGGATTAGACTGCCCACGGACACACACACATGCACACACACAGTCACACACAGAGTAATGAGGAGTTCCCATTCGCTGCATCTCCAATCAACCAGGAAATGAATTAATCTCACAATTAAAGCATCTGCTAATTCCACTCTGCTTTCAT